ACGAGTAGAAGGAAAAATGGATTCAATAAAATTTCAGCAAATTGTGGATGGTAACTTGATGCCATCTGTGAAAAAGCTGAAGTTAAAGAGAGGATGGCTTCTACAAATGGATAATGATCCTAAACACACCTCGAAATCCACGGGGGATTACATCAAGAGGTGTAAACTGAAGGTTTTGCCATGGCCTTCACAATCTCCTGACCTCAACATAATTGAAAATCTATGGATAGACCTTAAAAGAGCAGTGCGTGACAGACAGCCCAGAAATCTCAAAGAACTGGAAGACTTTTGTAAGGAAGAATGGGCAAAGATACCTCAAACAAGAAAAAGACTCTTGGCTGGCTACAAAAAGCGTTTACAAGCTGTGATACTTGCCAAAGGGGGCAGTACAAGATATTAACTCTGCAGGGTGCCCAAACTTTTGCAGACGCCATTTTTTTGGTTTTCTGTTATTTTGAAAGTGTAAATGATGGAAATAAAAAATCTAACTTTTGTTGACATATTATAAAAATGTCTAATCTGTAATTTGATGCCTTTTGGAGATTTTTCCATCTTCCTTGGCTTCTTTATGCACATTAATAACACATTTTTAGCTGGGGTGCCCAAACTTTCGATCCCCACTATATATATATAATATACACACAAAAAAACCAAAAACAAAAAAAAAACCCCCCCCCCCAAAAAAAAAAAAAAAAATCAAAAAAAAAACAAAAAAAATAAAAAAAAACAAAAAAAAAAAAAAAAAAAAAAAAAAAAAAAAAAAAAAAAAAAAAAAAAAAAAAAAAAAAAAAAAAAAAAAAAAACCCAAAAAAAAAAAAAAAAAAAAAAAAACAAAAAAAAAAAAAAAAAAAAAAAAAAAAAAAAAAAAAACAAAAAAAAAAAAAAAAAAAAAAAAAAAAAAAAAAAAAAAAAAAAAAAAAAAAAAAAAAAAAAAAAAAAAAAAAAAAAAAAAAAAAAAAAAAAAAAAAAAAAAAAAAAAAAAAAAAAAAAAAAAAAAAAAAAAAAAAAAAAAAAAAAAAAAAAAAAAAAAAAAAAAAAAAAAAAAAAAAAAAAAAAAAAAAAAAAAAAAAAAAAAAAAAAAAAAAAAAAAAAAAAAAAAAAAAAAAAAAAAAAAAAAAAAAAAAAAAAAAAAAAAAAAAAAAAAAAAAAAAAAAAAAAAAAAAAAAAAAAAACCCAAAAAAAAAAAAAAAAAAAAAAAAAAAAAAAAAAAAAAAAAAAAAAAAAAAAAAAAAAAAAAAAAAAAAAAAAAAAAAAAAAAAAAAAAAAAAAAAAAAAAAAAAAAAAAAAAAAAAAAAAAAAAAAAAAAAAAAAAAAAAAAAAAAAAAAAAAAAAAAAAAAAACAAAAAAAAAAAAAAAAAAAAAAAAAAAAAAAAAAAAAAAAAAAAAAAAAAAAAAAAAAAAAAAAAAAAAAAAAAAAAAAAAAAAAAAAAAAAACAAAAAAAAAAAAAAAAAAAAAAAAAAAAAAACAAAAAAAAAAAAAAAAAAAAAAAAAAAAAAAAAAAAAAAAAAAAAAAAAAAAAAAAAAAAAAAAAAAAAAAAAAAAAAAAAAAAAAAAAAAAAAAAACAAAAAAAAAACCAAAAAAAAAAAAAAAAAAAAAAAAAAAAACAAAAAAAAAAAAAAAAAAAAAAAAAAAAAAAAAAAAAAAAAAAAAAAAAAAAAAAAAAAAAAAAAAAAAAAAAAAAAAAAAAAAAAAAAAAAAAAAAAAAAAAAAAAAAAAAAAAAAAAACAAATATAAACAAACAAAAATAAAAAACAAAAAAAAAAACAACCACCAATAAATATAAAACACAAAAAAAATAAAACAATATAAAAAACACACACATATAAAAACACAAACAAAAATAAAACAAAATATAACACACACACACCCCTTGGCCACCATTCTTGTACATTCCCCTCAGTAGTTCTCAGTTAGTGAGCAGCGACATGATTACATTACTGCTAGCTGCAATGGGTGGATCCGAGAGTCTCAGACTCCCAGTCTGATTTGTCCACTGTGCAGCACAGATTGACAGGCCATGAGTCTGATCCAACTCATTCATATTCCCGCCCACAGCTCCGCCCACAGCACTGCCAACTGTGGTTATTAGTAATGGGAGTAGTGATGTGAATGGGTAACACTATGGGTGGGAATGTGGGCAAGAATGCGGGTGTGAAAGAGTCCGTGTGCCGAAGCGCTACTGAAACAGGAATCGCATTGTCTAAGCAAGGAGCGGCCACTCTTCCAGCTGATAAGCCACCGACTAGATCGTAAGGCGCATGCTGCAGACTGGGGGTCTAAGTCGTCATTACATCGCTGCAGTGGGCAGATCCCCGAGTCTCAGACTCCCAGTCTCATCCACCTACTGTGCAGCATAGGCAAGCCAGGAGTCTGATCCATTCCACACCCACATTGCCCTGATCGGTTCTGCAGTTTTTAATCACCATCCCGGAGTTCTTCTTTAATGGCCTGGACACAGGGTCTCTAACTTAGAAAGCTAAGACCCAACAGCGGTTCAAGCTTCCACTTAGCTGCCTGTACAGCCACAGAGGGGTGATGGTGACATAGGTCTGCTGTCAAAGAGCAAACTATGCTCATATAGAGCTAGAGAATGACCAAATATCACCTTTTTGGTAACTCCTGTATGAATCCTAACCATGCTATACTTTGATGCCAGCCCAGTCCTGCTGCTTGGTGAGTAATTCACAACTATGATAAACCAATTAGTGGCATAGCATCGGGTGGCTGGTTAGATTAGCAAGGTGGTTCAGGTCACTTTAACATGCGAATTACAGTGTAGACAGAGTCAATTAAATACATGTTCCCATGCATGGATTCCACAAAATACAGTGGGATCAAAAGTTTGGGCACCCCAGCTAAAAATTTGTATTAATGTGCATAAAGAAGCCAAGGAAAGATGGAAAAATCTCCAAAAAAGGCATCAAATTACAGATTAGACATTCTTATAATATGTCAACAAAAGTTAGATTTTATGTCCATCATTTACACTTTCAAATAACAGAAAACAAAAAAATGGCGTCTGCAAACGTTTGGGCCCCCTGCAGAATTTATAGCATGCACTGCCCCCTTTGCCAAGCTGAGACCTGCCAGTGTCATGGATTGTTCTCAATCATCGTCTGGGAAGACCAGGTGATGTCAATCTCAAAGGTTTTAAATGCCCAGACTCATCTGACCTTGCCCCAACAATCAGCACCATGGGTTCTTCTAAGCAGTTGTCTAGAAAACTGAAACTGAAAATAGTTGACGCTCACAAAGCTGGAGAAGGCTATAAGAAGATAGCAAAGTGTTTTCAGATGTCAATATCCTCTGTTCGGAATGTAATTAAGAAATGGCAGTCATCAGGAACAGTGGAAGTTAAAGCAAGATCTGGAAGACCAAGAAAAATATCAGACAGAACAGCTCGCAGGATTGTGAGAAACAATTCAAAACCCACGTTTGACTGCACGATCCCTCCAGAAAAATCTGGCAGACACTGGAGTTGTGGTACACTATTCCACTATAAAGAGATACTTGTACAATTATGGTCTTCATGGAAGAGTCATCAGAAGAAAACCTCTTCTACGTCCTCACCACAAAAAATCATCGTTTGCAAAATGAACATATAGACAAGCCTGATGCATTTTGGAAACAAGTTCTGTGGACCGATGAGGTTAAAATTGAACTTTTTGGCCGGAATGAGCAAAGGTACGTTTGGAGAAGAAGGGGCACAGAATTTAATGAAAAGAACCTCTGTCCAACTGTTAAGCATGGGGTTGGATCAATCATGCTTTGGGGTTGTGTTGCAGCCAGTGGCACAGGGAACATCTCACAGTTGAAGGAAAAATGGATTCAATAAAATTTCAGCAAATTTTGGATGGTAAACTTGATGCCATCTGTGAAAAAGCTGAAGTTAAAGAGAGGATGGCTTCTACAAATGGATAATGATCCTAAACACACCTCGAAATCCACGGGGAATTACATCAAGAGGCGTAAACTGAAGGTTTTGCCATGGCCTTCACAATCTCCTGACCTCAACATCATTGAAAATCTATGGCTAGACCTTAAAAGAGCCGTGCGTGACAGACAGCCCAGAAATCTCAAAGAACTGGAAGACTTTTGTAAGGAAGAATGGGCAAAGATACCTCAAACAAGAATTGAAAGACTCTTGGCTGGCTACAAAAAGCGTTTACAAGCTGTGATACTTGCCAAAGGGGGCAGTACAAGATATTAACTCTGCAGGGTGCCCAAACTTTTGCAGACGCCATTTTTTTGTTTTCTGTTATTTTGAAAGTGTAAATGATGGAAATAAAATCTATTTTTTGTTGACATATTATAAGAATGTCTAATCTGTAATTTGATGCCTTTTGGAGATTTTTCCATCTTTCCTTGGCTTCTTTATGCACATTAATACAAACTTTTAGCTGGGGTGCCCAAACTTTCCATCCCCACTGTATGTAGGCTGCCATTGCTGGTTTTCTGCCTCTCATACTGATTGAATAACTTCAATACCTTGAGTCAGAGCACCCATAACAAACAGGGAGACTGGATTGAAGATTTCACTGGCTGCATGCTTGTTGTGGGTGGATCCGTAACCAATACTGATGCTGATGGCAGCCTAGCAAGCAACAAATGTCTGAAGGTCATCAGCAATGGCAGGCAACAAAGTGCATGTATTTCTATCCTGTCTCATTGCTTAGACTCACTCCCAACTGCTTTCTGACCATGCATTCAGCAAGGAGACAAATATTTAATTCCCTGTGACTGACCGTGCTTGCCTGAGGAACCAGGTGCTTCTCTACGACAAGCACCCTCACTAGATATGCAAGAGAAGGAGGAAGCATGTCAGTTACCCTGTTCCACCAAGTATTTTTATTGGTCACTAGGACGTTGGCAGGCCCTGCTGCACAGCATCCCTGTGATAGGACGCAGGTGGCCCATCATGCTAAAAAAAAATAAATAAAAAACGTACAACTAATTTCTTTCAGGCCGATGGATCGAAACTCCATAGCAGGACCTTACCTGTAACATCCCAACTATCTCCACCTTGTTAAAAAATATGAAAGAGTGAAGCGTGGACAGCATGTTTTCTTCAAAGACAGAGGGGGTGGGCAATACCACGTCTTGTATATACTGCACTCTGTACGTCTGGTGGATTTTCTGTTTCAGTTCAAGGTCTGATATGGGAATCACCTCCTTAAACTTAGCTGTTTTTGTCAGAAACTCCCGGTGTTTGCGTTGCACAGACAAAGACGGATCATACTCCAAGCAGCCAATGATGTCCATAATGCAGTCTTCTGAAAACATGACCTCAAAGAGTGCAGTTCGGTTTAAAAGGAAGATCCCCTTGATTATTTCATACAAGTGGTGCAATCCTTCAATGTTCTCCAGGTCTTCACACACGTGGAAAAGTTCCAGGAGTTTTTTTATATATCCCTCGTTCTCCAGGGCCAGGGCAAGTTTCTCACGTCGTAATGGAGACGGTAACGACGATGCCACAACTTCAGCAATCTCCTCCAGCCGGCTAAGTTCACAGGGTGGTAGCTCCAGGCCCGGGGAGGACATGTCCTCGAAGCGCTCCTCTTCTGATTCGTCCACAAGGTCCTGAGTGATGTCCACCGAGGGGTCCTTTCCTTGAACCTGGAAAAAAAAAAACAAGGGGGGCTTCAGAGTGACTCTACCTGGTTAAACTTTTACTGATGCCCAACTGCTAAAGTGAGCTGTTCTGCCAGAAAAATCACAAGTGTAATCCGCACACTGCTTGACTTCAGCTACGACAGCAATGGACATTCATTTATCTGTTTGACAAAAAAAAACTTTTAGTGTTCATACCACCTGGCTGGAAACCTAAAGGAAGACTATGGTGACCATCACCGCCTTTGCACAGTACTGTTGCTATAAATTATAGTGGCACACCGAAATGAAAATTCTGCTGCCGAAACCGAAAATTCAAAATGCACTTGGCCGAAAACCGAAATGTGCAGTTTTTAAAAATGAATACATTTTTTGGAAAAAAAAATACACTGATTAAAAAAACAATATATACCCCAATTTTTTTGTAAAATATGAAAGAGGATGTTACGGCGAGTAAATAGATACCCAACATCTCACGCTTTAAAATTGTGCACACTCGTGGAATGGCGTGAAACTGTGGTAGTTAAAAATCTCCATGGGTGATGCTTTTTAAAAGTTCTACAGGTTAGCAGTGTACAGTTACAGAGCAGGTCTAGCGCGATACCTCACGTGTGTGGTTTGAACACCATTTACATATGTGGGCATGGCCTACGTATGCGTTCACCACTATGTGCGAGCATGGGGGGGACGGGCACTTTAAACTTTAAAAAAAAATGTATTTAATGTTTTGGCGTTTTTTCTGCACTGTCCCTTTAAACAAAATTTTAATCACTTTTATTCTTATCACAAGGAATGAATGCATCCCCTGTGATAGAAATAATTAGTGACAGGTCCTCTTTATGGAGAGAAATGGGGTCAATAAAAAAAAAAAAAAAAAAAAAAACAGAACGGGAAGTGACGTCGCTCCGGTCCTCCAAGGGAATAGAGATGTGTGGCGGCCATCTTTCCTTCTCATCTCTATGCCCAGGGCCGGGATCAATGGTTTCTCAGGTAAGGCTGAACTACCGTGCGGCGAACAAACCTTGTTGCAGATTCCAACCTTTTGTTATTCTGAAGAAATAGCTGTTTGTGTCCCATGTGCAGAGTGAATCTGTATGGGAGTGGTTTTAAAATGACCAATCAGCTGCTGCTCTTGCAGGCTACACCAGATTCTGAGTGCTCCAGTGTGTCAGTAGCATTAGCACAGCAGTTTTGTTTAACCGCTTGGCACCAACATTTCCTGGCCTTTTAAGGGGTTTCAGATGCCAGGAGGCGGGGCGGGGGTTTCTGATCATGTGACCCTCCTGACTGGCTGTCACAGCAGACCCTTGATCACAAGTAGCGATTGGGAGCTTGCCGTTAGCCACCGGTAACTGTGCCAGGAGCGCACACTGTGTGTGCTCTGGGCACAATTGTTTTGTTTTTTCTGGGGACGCATATATGCAGCCCCTGGCTGTTAGGGCCCATCCGCCGACAGGTCGCATATATGCAGCCTCTGACTGTTATGGCCCATCCGCCGACAGGTCGCATATATGCAGCCCCTGGCTGTTAGGGCCCATCCGCCGACAGGTGCATATATGCACCTCTGACTGTTAGGGCCCATCGCACAGGTCGCATATATGCAGCCTCTGGCTGTTAGGGCCCATCCGCCGACAGGTCGCATATATGCAGCCTCTGACTGTTAGGGCCCATCCGCCGACAGGTCGCATATATGCGCCTCTGACGTTAGGGCCCATCCGCCGACAGGTCGATAATGCGTACGGGTGAAAGGGGTTAATCTGCCTAATTTTGGCCTTCCCTGGTTCCACTTATGCCTTTGGCTTGAACATACCAATGAAATCTTTAAATAAAACCTTTTTTTCATCACATAACCTTTCAGGCACATGTGAGCAGCCAATACATTGCAGCACATGGCTGTCCCTGGTTTGTGGGGGTCAATCATTTTCTATAGCCTAGCAATAAAACCTGACCACTTCAAACCCTTTCCTGTTTTATCCAAATTATTTCTTCTGACTGGTGTTCAACTTTAGAGCTGAAAGCAATACTAAAAGTTCATTTTATTTTATTTTTTCTGTAAAATAACAAACACGTTATACTTACCCTTCTGTGCAGTGGTTTTGCACAGTGAAGCCTGGATCCTCCTCTTCTCGGGTCCCTTACCGGTACTCCTGGCACTTCTTGTCAGGTGTCCCCATAGCAACCAGCTTGCTATGGGAGCACCCGAGCAGGCATGTTCCAAAGCCGTTGCTCTGTGTGTCCATTTACACATGGAGCTGTGGCTTGCCCCGCCCCTCTCCTCACTGGCTGTGATTGACATCAGTGGGAGCCAATGGCTACCGCTTGCTGTCTCGACCAGTGAGGAAGCAAAGATCCAGGACAGCCAAGGCTGTTGTGCACATCCATGGATTGCGATGGGGCTCAGGAAAGTATTGAGGGGGCTGGGGGCACTGCCGCACACAGAAGGGTTTTTTTTTTTTTTAACCTTTATGCATAGAATGCATGAATGTAAAAAACCTTCAGCTTTTACAACCCCTTGAGGTTTTATCTACTTACTGTATCTCCCAGAAGTGAGTCCCCCCTCCCCTGGACTGTATACAATGTATATATACACAGTATCTCTCAGAAGTGAGCCCCCCCTCTCACATTTTTGTCAATATTTAATTCTCTCTTTTTATGTGACAACACTGAAGAAATGACACTTTGCTACAATGTGACGTAGTCAGTGTACAGCTTGTATAACGTAAATTTGCTGTCCCCTCAAAATAACTCAACACATCGCCATTAATGTCTAAACCGCTGGCAACAAAAGTGAGTCCACCCCTAAGTGACAAGGTCCAAATTGGGCCAATAAGCCATTTTCCCTCCCCGGTGTCATGTGACTCGTTAGTCTTACAAGGTCTCAGGTGTGAATGGGGAGCGGGGGGGTTAAATTTGGTGTTATCGCTCTCACTCTCTCATACTGGTCACTGGAAGTTCAACATGGCACCTCATGGCAAAGAACTCTCTGAGGATGCGAAAAAAAGTAATTGTTACTCTACATAAAGATGGCCGAGGCTATAAGAAGATTGCCAAGACCCTGAAACTGAGCTGCAGCACGGCAGCCAAGACCATACAGCGGTTAACAGGACAGGCTCCACTCAGAACAGGCCTCACCATGGTCCACCAAAGAAGTTGAGTGCACGTGCTCAGCGTCATATCCAGAGGTTGTCTTTGGGAAATAGACGTATGAGTGCTGCCAGCATTGCTGCAGAGGGTGAAGGGGTGGGGGGGTCAGCCTGTCAGTGCTCAGACCATACGCCGCACACTGCATCACATTGGTCTGCATGGCTGTCGTCCCAGAAGGAAGCCTCTTCTAAAGATGATGACCAAGAAAGACCACAGTTTGCTGAAGACAAGCAAACTAAGGACATGGATTACTGGAACCATCTCCTGTGGTCTGATGACACCAAGATCAACTGATTGGGTTCAGATGGTGTCACACGTGTGTGGCGGCAACCAGGTGAGGAGTACAAAGACACGTGTGTCTTGCCTACAGTCAAGCATGGTGGTGGGAGTGTCATGGTCTGGGGATGCATGAGTGCTGCCGGCACTGGGGGGCTACAGTTCATTGAGGGAACCATGAATGCCATCATGTACAGTGACATACTGAAGCTGAGCATGATCCCCTCCCCCTTCGGAGACTGGGCCGCAGGGCAGTATTCAAACATAATAACGACCCCAAACAAACACACCTCCAAGACCACCACTGCCTTGCTACAGAAGTTTAGGTCTCCAGACCTAAACCCTATTGAGCATCTGTGGGGCGTCCTCAAACAGAACGTGGAGGAGCGCAAGGTCTCCAACATCCACCCAGCTCCGTGATGACATCATGGAGGAGAGGAAGAGGACACCAGTGGCAACCTGTGAAGCTCTGGTGACCTCCATGCCCAAGAAGGTTAAGGCAGTGCTGGAAAATAATGGCAGCCACACAAAATATTGACACTTTGGGCCCAATTTGGACCTTGTCACTTAGGGGTGCACTCACTTTTGTTGCCAGCAGTTTAGACATTAATGGCGGTGTGTTGAGTTATTTTGAGGGGACAGCAAATTTACATGTTTTACAAGCTGTACACATTGTAGCAAAGTGTCAATTCTTCAGTGTTGTTGTGTTGAAAAGATAGAATCAAATATTTACAAACATGTGAGGGGTGAACTCACTTCTGGGAGGTACTGTATATGCAATAAATGTAGCAGACACTCGGCACTCCATATGGAGTTACAAAATTTATGGATACAAAAGCAAAACACAGAATACCCGCCAGCAGACCTTTTGTAACAATGCATTTTGGAACTCAGGAATGAGTGAACAGCGTATACTACATTTATTTCTGAAAAGCATACAAAAGCCTCATCTTGCATGTTTTTCCCACAGAATTAAAGACAGATAAGGATCACCAGGTATGTGCAAATCGTATCGCCCGATGCCCAGGACATCTGGGCACCAGGCAGGTTTTTTTTTCTTTCAGCCCTGCTGTGGGCGAGGGTTTGTTTCATCTTTGTGTATCACCCAAGGCCAGTCACTTCACTGGGTATATGGAAGAGTTTACAATCACGTGTGCTGTTATCAACTACAAAAGATCGATAAAAATGTGACACCAGCTGTCATTTTGTTCTCTCCTGACTGCCTCCATGGCACCTGGGATTTGTCCAGGAATGGCTATGCTAATACTTTCCATGTGTTATTCAATACACAGAGCATGCTGCAAATAGGACCGGCTCTTGCATCACATCAAAGAAACACAAAGAGAAGAAGAAAAGGAGGACACACCTGACATATCTTCTCCCAAATCTCATCGCATCCAGCTTTCTCCTGAAAACTCAGCGCCAGGTCATAGTTTTCGGCCTCCGACCACACGATTAGCGTGTCCTGCAAACAAAACGCCACAATATTACAATTCACATTCACACAAGGAAGCAAAGGAGAGGATGTGGATGTGACAAAAGTAGAATCAGAACATTGCAAAGCCCGATGGATCATTTATTTAACATGGCATATTCCTGAACTCCAGCAGTCTCCTGACATTATACGAATCTGTTATTTCACATTTTTTGTCCAGATAAAATTACATTTAAAGTGATTGTAAATGCTTAGTTAAAAAAAACCCCCAAAAAAACAAAACCACAGGATTATACCTACCTTAGCGGCCCTTAACCTCCTCTTCTCGGGTCCCCTGCCAGCACTCCTGGCTCCTACCCTTTGCTGAGTGGCACAATAGAAAGCTGCTTTCTACGGTGGGCACTTGTGCGGGCTCGCTCCTAAACCTGTCTGCATCTATTGACACAGTCAGCAGAACTTGGCTCCCCCCTCGTCATTGGCTTTCATTGCCTCAGCAAAGCCTGAGAGATCAGGAAGAGAAGAGCGGCAGACATGCTCAGCGCTGGATCGAATGAGGCCTCATGTAAGTAAAACAGGGGTAAAGGAGGATACTGATGGCTAAATATTTTCTACCTTAATGCATGGAATGCGTTTAGGCTTTATAACCACTTAGCAGTTTAGATGTACAAAAATAATTGCATTTCCATGTTTTGTGTACTGTGGGAGAGCAGATATAGTGAATGCGGGGTCCGGGGAGAGCGGATATAGTGAATGCGGGGTCCGGGGAGAGCGGATATAGTGAATGCGGGGTCCGGGGAGAGCGGATATAGTGAATGCGGGGTCCGGGGAGAGCGGATATAGTGAATGCGGGGTCCGGGAGAGCGGATATAGTGAATGCGGGGTCCGGGGAGAGCGGATATAGTGAATGCGGGGGTCCGGGGAGAGCGATATAGTGAATGCGGGGTCCGGGGAGAGCGGATATAGTGAAATGCGGGGGTCCGGGGAGAGCGGATATAGTGAAAATGCGGGGTCCGGGGAGAGCGGATATAGTGAATGCGGGGTCCGGGGAGAGCGGATATAGTGAAATGCGGGGTCCGGGGAGAGCGGATATATAGTGAACGCGGGGTCCGGGGAGAGCGGATATAGTGAACGCGGGGTCCGGGGAGAGCGGATATAGTGAACGCGGGGTCCGGGGAGAGCGGATATAGTGAACGCGGGGTCCGGGGAGAGCGGATATAGTGAACGCGGGGTCCGGGGAGAGAGCGGATATAGTGAACGCGGGGTCCGGGGAGAGCGGATATAGTGAACGCGGGGTCCGGGGAGAGCGGATATAGTGAACGCGGGGTCCGGGGAGAGCGGATATAGTGAACGCGGGGTCCGGGGAGAGCGGATATAGTGAACGCGGGGTCCGGGGAGAGCGGATATAGTGAACGCGGGGTCCGGGGAGAGCGGATATAGTGAACGCGGGGTCCGGGGAGAGCGGATATAGTGAACGCGGGGTCCGGGGAGAGCGGATATAGTGAACGCGGGGTCCCGGGGAGAGCGGATATAGTGAACGCGGGGTCCGGGGAGAGCGGATATAGTGAACGCGGGGTCCGGGGAGAGCGGATATAGTGAACGCGGGGTCCGGGGAGAGCGGGATATAGTGAACGCGGGGTCCGGGGAGAGCGGATATAGTGAACGCGGGGTCCGGGGAGAGCGGATATAGTGAACGCGGGGTCCGGGGAGAGCGGATATAGTGAACGCGGGGTCCGGGGAGAGCGGATATAGTGAACGCGGGGTCCGGGGAGAGCGGATATAGTGAACGCGGGGTCCGGGGAGAGCGGATATAGTGAACGCGGGGTCCGGGGAGAGCGGATATAGTGAACGCGGGGTCCGGGGAGAGCGGATATAGTGAACGCGGGGTCCGGGGAGAGCGGATATAGTGAACGCGGGGTCCGGGGAGAGCGGATATAGTGAACGCGGGGTCCGGGGAGAGAGCGGATATAGTGAACGCGGGGTCCGGGGTCCGGGGAGAGCGGATATAGTGAACGCGGGGTCCGGGGAGAGCGGATATAGTGAACGCGGGGTCCGGGGAGAGCGGATATAGTGAACGCGGGGTCCGGGGAGAGCGGATATAGTGAACGCGGGGTCCGGGGAGAGCGGATATAGTGAACGCGGGGTCCGGGGAGAGCGGATATAGTGAACGCGGGGTCCGGGGAGAGCGGATATAGTGAACGCGGGGTCCGGGGGAGAGCGGATATAGTGAACGCGGGGTCCGGGGAGAGCGGATATAGTGAACGCGGGGTCCGGGGAGAGCGGATATAGTGAACGCGGGGTCCGGGGAGAGCGGATATAGTGAACGCGGGGTCCGGGGAGAGCGGATATAGTGAACGCGGGTCCGGGGAGAGCGGATATAGTGAACGCGGGGTCCGGGGAGAGCGGATATAGTGAACGCGGGGTCCGGGGAGAGCGGATATAGTGAACGCGGGGTCCGGGGGAGAGCGGATATAGTGAACGCGGGGGTCCGGGGAGAGCGGATATAGTGAACGCGGGGTCCGGGGAGAGCGGATATAGTGAACGCGGGGTCCGGGGAGAGAGCGGATATAGTGAACGCGGGGTCCGGGGAGAGCGGATATAGTGAACGCGGGGTCCGGGGAGAGCGGATATAGTGAACGCGGGGTCCGGGGAGAGCGGATATAGTGAACGCGGGGTCCGGGGAGAGAGCGGATATAGTGAACGCGGGGTCCGGGGAGAGCGGATATAGTGAACGCGGGGTCCGGGGAGAGCGGATATAGTGAACGCGGGGTCCGGGGAGAGCGGATATAGTGAACGCGGGGTCCGGGGAGAGAGGGATATAGTGAACGCGGGGTCCGGGGAGAGCGGATATAGTGAACGCGGGGTCCGGGGGGAGAGCGGATATAGTGAACGCGGGGTCCGGGGAGAGCGGATATAGTGAACGCGGGGTCCGGGGAGAGCGGATATAGTGAACGCGGGGTCCGGGGAGAGAGCGGATATAGTGAACGCGGGGTCCGGGGAGAGCGGATATAGTGAACGCGGGGTCCGGGGAGAGCGGATATAGTGAACGCGGGGTCCGGGGAGAGCGGATATAGTGAACGCGGGGTCCGGGGAGAGCGGATATAGTGAACGCGGGGTCCGGGGAGAGCGGATATAGTGAACGCGGGGTCCGGGAGAGCGGATATAGTGAACGCGGGGTCCGGGGAGAGCGGATATAGTGAACGCGGGGTCCGGGGAGAGCGGATATAGTGAACGCGGGGTCCGGGGAGAGCGGATATAGTGAACGCGGGGTCCGGGGAGAGCGGATATAGTGAACGCGGGGTCCGGGGAGAGCGGATATAGTGAACGCGGGGTCCGGGGAGAGCGGATATAGTGAACGCGGGGTCCGGGGAGAGCGGATATAGTGAACGCGGGGTCCGGGGAGAGCGGATATAGTGAACGCGGGGTCCGGGGAGAGCGGATATAGTGAACGCGGGGTCCGGGGAGAGCGGATATAGTGAACGCGGGGTCCGGGGAGAGCGGATATAGTGAACGCGGGGTCCGGGAGAGCGGATATAGTGAACGCGGGGTCCGGGGAGAGCGGATATAGTGAACGCGGGGTCCGGGGAGAGCGGATATAGTGAACGCGGGGTCCGGGGAGAGCGGATATAGTGAACGCGGGGTCCGGGAGAGAGCGGATATAGTGAACGCGGGGTCCGGGGAGAGCGGATATAGTGAACGCGGGGTCCGGGGAGAGCGGATATAGTGAACGCGGGGTCCGGGGAGAGCGGATATAGTGAACGCGGGGTCCGGGGAGAGCGGATATAGTGAACGCGGGGTCCGGGGAGAGCGGATATAGTGAACGCGGGGTCCGGGGAGCGGATATAGTGAACGCGGGGTCCGGGGAGAGCGGATATAGTGAACGCGGGGTCCGGGAGAGCGGATATAGTGAACGCGGGGTCCGGGGAGAGCGGATATAGTGAACGCGGGGTCCGGGGGAGAGCGGATATAGTGAACGCGGGGTCCGGGGAGAGCGGATATAGTGAACGCGGGGTCCGGGGAGAGCGGATATAGTGAACGCGGGGTCCGGGGAGAGCGGATATAGTGAACGCGGGGTCCGGGGAGAGCGGATATAGTGAACGCGGGGTCCGGGGGAGAGCGGATATAGTGAACGCGGGGTCCGGGGAGAGCGGATATAGTGAACGCGGGGTCCGGGGAGAGCGGATATAGTGAACGCGGGGTCCGGGGAGAGCGGATATAGTGAACGCGGGGTCCGGGGAGAGCGGATATAGTGAACGCGGGGTCCGGGGAGAGCGGATATAGTGAACGCGGGGTCCGGGGAGAGCGGATATAGTGAACGCGGGGTCCGGGGAGAGCGGATATAGTGAACGCGGGGTCCGGGGAGAGCGGATATAGTGAACGCGGGGTCCGGGGAGAGCGGATATAGTGAACGCGGGGTCCGGGGAGAGCGGATATAGTGAACGCGGGGTCCGGGGAGAGCGGATATAGTGAACGCGGGGTCCGGGGAGAGCGGATATAGTGAACGCGGGGTCCGGGGAGAGCGGATATAGTGAACGCGGGGTCCGGGGAGAGCGGATATAGTGAACGCGGGGTCCGGGGAGAGCGGATATAGTGAACGCGGGGTCCGGGAGAGCGGATATAGTGAACGCGGGGTCCGGGGAGAGCGGATATAGTGAACGCGGGGTCCGGGGAGAGCGGATATAGTGAACGCGGGTCCGGGGAGAGCGGATATAGTGAACGCGGGGTCCGGGGAGAGCGGATATAGTGAATGCGGGGTCCGGGGAGAGCGGGATATAGTGAATGCGGGGTCCGGGGAGAGCGGATATAGTGAATGCGGGGGGGTCCGGGAGAGCGGATATAGTGAATGCGGGGTCCGGGGAGAGCGGATATAGTGAATGCGGGGTCCGGGGAGAGCGGATATAGTGAATGCGGGGTCCGAGGAGAGCAGATATAGTGAATGCAGGGTCCGGGGAGAGCGGATATAGTGAATGCGGGGTCCAGGGGAGCGGATATAGTGAATGCGGGGTCCAGGGAGAGCGGATATAGTGAATGCGGGGTCCAGGGAGAGCGGATATAGTGAATGCGGGGTCCAGGGAGAGCGGATGTAGTGAATGCGGTGTCCAGGGAGAGTGGATATAGTGAATGCGGGGTCCGGGGAGAGCGGATATAGTGAATGCGGGGTCCGGGGAGAGCGGATATAGTGAATGCGGGGTCCGGGGAGAGCGGATGTAGTGAATGCGGGGTCCGGGGAGAGCGGATGTAGTGAATGCGGGGTCCGGGGAGAGCGGATGTAGTGAATGCGGGGTCCGGGGAGAGCGGATGTAGTGAATGCGGTGTCCAGGGAGAGCGGATATAGTGAATGCGGGGTCCGGGGAGAGCGGATGTAGTGAATGCGGTGTCCAGGGAGAGTGGATATAGTGAATGCGGGGTCCGGGGAGAGCGGATATAGTGAATGCGGGGTCCGGGGAGAGCGGATATAGTGAATGCGGGGTCCGGGGAGAGCGGATGTAGTGAATGCGGGGTCCGGGGAGAGCGGATGTAGTGAATGCGGGGGTCCGGGGAGAGCGGATGTAGTGAATGCGGTGTCCAGGGAGAGCGGATATAGTGAATGCGGGGTCCTGGGTTTAGTAACACTTTAACTGAAAAAAAGCTCTTAGTCCCTCTACATCTACAAATTCCTTTTTCTACCTTGCTGTGATCTGACTTCCTGTTAGAGGGTGGCTACGTTCGTTCCCCTTGGACCTCCTGTATGTAGGAACATAGCTACTCTCTCGTTACAGATGACCACAACAGCTACAGACACATTTGAAATGTTACAGTTTTCCATGCATCAAGATTTGGAATTCTGCTCAATAAATCGTGTAAATTACACAGGGTTTCAAACTGCACAGCCAGACAGGTGACAGTTAAATCAAAACTCAATGCAGTTTCCTATGGCACCCCTCTGTCTCTAGGCTCTTCAAATGAAAAAAAAAAAAAAACCCACCATTAGTATAATCACTTCTGTCCAATTAGCAAGGGGGTGATCCAGGAAGCAGCAAAGCTGAACCAGGAACATAGGTGATCTCCTGATCGTGATGTGCGATAGGGATGTGTTAAGTACAAGATCAGCTGCACAGGATTGCAAATACCTTGATTGGTAAGTAGCAAATAAACTAATACAAATTGTATATTTACTTTTTGAATTGGAGTTCAACTTTAGAAGGAGAAGTAGGGCCAAACCTCTTTTGTCCTGGAGGTCACACGAGTGAACTTCGTTCAGCCCTCCTTCAGCGTTTCCTACAACGGCGCCACCTCCTCTTCCCTCCCCCTCTCTGTTGGGGTCCCCCAGGGCTCTGTCCTTGGACCCCCTTCTCTTCTCCATCTACACCTCCTCCCTTGGCAAACTCATACACTCCCACAGCTTCAACTACCACCCCTACGCTGATGATACTCAAATCTACCTCTCCACCCCTCACCTCACCCCCACATTCTCCGCCCCACATCACTCACCTCCTAAACGACATCTCTGACTGGATGTCGCTCCATTTCCTCAAGCTCAACCTCTCCAAAACCGAGCTTCTCGTCTTTCCCCCTTCCCGTGCCCCCCCCCCCCCCCGCCCATCCTTTCCATCACTACCAACACCCACCACCATCAATCCCGCCCAGCAAGCCAAGGTCCTTGGCGTCATTCTGGACTCAAACCTTTCCTTCCAACCTCATATCAAATCACTTACAAATACATGCAGGTTCCACCTCCGGAACATCGCCAAGATACACTCCTTCCTTACCCCAGACACCACTAAACTACTAGTACACTCCCTGATTATCTCACGCCTTGACTACTGCAACTCCCTCCTCACCGGCCTACCCCAGTGCAGGCTCTCCCCGCTTCAGACCATCCTGAACTCAGCTGCCAGACTCATCCACCTCACCCTGCCTCTCCCTCCACTGCCCAACGCATTAAATTCAAACTGCTCACTCTGACCTATAAGGCCATTCACAACACTGCCCCTAACTACCTCACCGACCTGATTCCCAGGTACCACCCTACCCGTACCCTTCGCTCTTCACAGGATCTCCTATCTTGCTCCCTGGTCTCCTCCTCCCACGCACGACTGCCAGACTTCTCCAGGTCCTCCCCCATCCTCTGGAACTCACTACCCCAATCCATCAGACTGTCACCTTCCCTCCTCACCTTCAGGCGCTCCCTGAAAACCCACCTCTTCAGGGAAGCCTACCCCACCCTCACCTAACAGCCGCTGCCCTTCCCTCCTCCTACCACTCCATCCCCCACAGCCGTTTCCTCCTGTACCTCTACCCCCTCCCTCCTAGATTGTAAGCTTGAAAGAGTAGGGCCCTCTTACCCCTTGTGTGCTGTTTGATGTTACTGTACTGTGCCATGTATTGTCCCCCCCCTATTGTACAGCGCTGAGCAAACCCTTTGGCGCTATATAAAGTTGATAAATAAATAAATAAGCACTCCTCTACCCCATATTCAGCCAACAGTGGGCTAAAGCTAATGTCACTGAGCGGGTCCCGGATCAGAAGAGATCCTGATTTTTCTGTCGGGATCCACCCAGATGCCTAAGCCAGCCACTATTACCCCCTCCACAGCCCAGCAACTGCAGTGAGTGCTGGCGGAGCAGAAAAGAGAGCTGGTGACTGAGTCACCGGCTCTCTGCTCAATGAAGACCGAGAACTGAGTGATTACTCTGTGATCACTCAGGTGCAGCAACGACGGGGGACAGATGCTGCATCCCTCTAGGTGAGAATGACTTTTTTTTTTCCCACACTTCTCATTTAAAAAGTAAAACTATGCTAAGATATATAGTGCTGGGGGGTACCACCAAGTAGGGGTGCTCTGTTCTATATGAGGTTCTTAACAACCTTCACTCAAGAACATCCCCCAAAACGGATCTTAAAACAGAGCTCCACCCAAAAAGGGGAAATTCCGCTTTAAGGCCTTGTCCCCCCCCCTCCCCGTTAAGGATTGACACCTTTGGGGGACCAGGTACCCGATTTTGACAGGTACCCACTCCCACTTCCGTTGCAATTGCCTAGGCAACCAGAAGTGGAAGTTGCCCTCCCCCCCCTCCCCATAGTCTTCTGGGACCTGTGACAGGTCCCAGAAGACTACAGGGCCATTCATGAGGCGCAGCGCTACTTGTGCATGCGCAGTGGGCTCCCGGCTGTGAAGCTGCCACCTGTCACAGCCGGGTGCCCACACTGAAGAAACTGGTGCCAGGGAGCGAAGGCCGATGAAACCGGCTGCGGTAAGGACACCAGCTTTTGTAGCCGCGGACTTATTTTTTTAGATTTTGAATGCAGCTCGGCTTTAACCTTCTTGGGCTATAAAACATACCTGTTGTTTCTGGTAAGCAGTGTTGGGATTGATTTTTGATTCCAGAAGAAGTGAACCTGGTAGAAAAAAAAAAAAAAAGGCAACAGATGAACATACTTCGGACGGCATTCTATAAGAAAATAATACGAGAATTAGATGGCCTCAGAGTTATTTGTAGAATAAAAACATTAGGAAGAAAATGATTCTCATACTGGTCTCTGTTTATCAAGGTAAAAATGTTAAACCTGCCAAAGAAACCTAAAGTGGAACTTCACCCTCAATCAACACGATTGTGAATCCTTATCTAGCATTAGTAAACAGATAGGAAAGTATATCATATGTACTTATTTTAAACTTTTTTTTTTTTTTTTTTACATTTCTTGTTACTTCCTAGTTTTCATGCCTAGGCAAATGATGTCATACATTCCAAAAGTCTTCATGAGGGGGGTTCTCAGCTAAGCACTCCAGGAAGTAAATGCTACATGAATTATCTGCCCTTACTAAAGATGGCCACGAAAAGAAATGCATGGGGGGGTGTTTTTCAAAGTCTCTAGGGTTTACAGAGAATGGTCCGAAAAAGAGAAAATATCCATTGATCAGCAGTTGTGTGGAGGAAAATGCCTTGTTGGTGTCAGAGGAGAATGGGCAGACAGGTTCCAGATGATAGAAGGACACAGTAACTCAAATAACCACTTGATACAACCAAGGTATGCAGAATACCATCTCTGAAACGCACAACCTTGGACCAGATGGGCTACAGCAGCAGAAGACCACACCGGGGGCCACTCCTGTAAGCTAAGAAGGGGAAACGGAGGCTACAATTCGCACAGGCTCACCAAGATTGGACAATAGAAGGTTGAACACCTTTGGGATGAATTAGAGTGTAGATTGTGAGCCAGGCCTCCTCCCCCGACATCAGTGCCTGACCTGACAAATGTGCTTCTGGAAGAATGGTCCAACCTTCCCATAGACACCCTCCTAAACCTTGTGGACGGCCTTCCCAGAAGAGTTGAAGCTGTTATAGCTGCAAAGGGCGGGGCCAACTCAATATTGAACCCTACGGACTAAGACCGGGGGGGGCGTTAAAGGTCATGTGTGTGGAAAGGGCGGGGCCAATCCAATATTGAACCCTACGGACTAAGACTGGGGGGCCATTACAGTACATGTGCGTGGAAAGGCCGGCGGCCCAATACTTTTGGCAATACAGTGCTTATGTATATGTATATGTATATATATATATATCTATATCTATCACACACACTTTTTTTTTTTGTAGCCCCCATAGCAAATCACATGCTATGGGGGCACTTGCGTGTGAATGCCTTTATACGCACTTGAACGATGTCCCTGTGGTAGGGCCTATCCAACATTAGAAATTCTAGTGAAAGCCCAACACATAGGCCTAATGAATTAGGACAGGGCTGACCTGCTTATGGCCGCCTGTGTTTTTATAAAATACATCCTGAAATGTTTCCAAATCTGCAGCGGGGGAAATCAAACATGGAATCTTAGCTGGAGGAAGAATTCAGGAAACCTCAGATCTAGTTTTCATGAACACACATTGGGGTTGATTTACTAAAGGCAAGTGCAGTTGCTCCAGAGCTTGGTAATTCAGCATTCACTACATCCGCTCCCCCGACCCGGCATTCACTACATCCGCTCTCCCCGGACCCGGCATTCACTACATCCGCTCTCCCCCCGGACCCGGCATTCACTACATCCGCTCTCCCCGGACCCGGCATTCACTACATCCGCTCTCCCCGGACCCGGCATTCACTACATCCGCTCTCCCCGGACCCGGCATTCACTACATCCGCTCTCCCCGGACCCGGCATTCACTACATCCGCTCTCCCCGGACCCGGCATTCACTACATCCGCTCTCCCCGGACCCGGCATTCACTACATCCGCTCTCCCCGGACCCGGCATTCACTAGATCCGCTCTCCCCGGACCCGGCATTCACTAGATCCGCTCTCCCCGGACCCGGCATTCACTAGATCCGCTCTCCCCGGACCCGGCATTCACTAGATCCGCTCTCCCCGGACCCGGCATTCACTAGATCCGCTCTCCCCCGGACCCGGCATTCACTAGATCCGCTCTCCCCCCGGACTAGATCGCTCTCCCCGGACCCGGCATTCACTAGATCCGCTCTCCCCGGACCCGGCATTCACTAGATCCGCTCTCCCCGGACCCGGCATTCACTAGATCCGCTCTCCCCGGACCCGGCATTCACTAGATCCGCTCTCCCCGGACCCGGCATTCACTAGATCCGCTCTCCCCGGACCCGGCATTCACTAGATCCGCTCTCCCCGGACCCGGCATTCACTAGATCCGCTCTCCCCGGACCCGGCATTCACTAGATCCGCTCTCCCCGGACCCGGCATTCACTAGATCCGCTCTCCCCGGACCCGGCATTCACTACATCCGCTCTCCCCGGACCCGGCATTCACTAGATCCGCTCTCCCCGGACCCGGCATTCACTAGATCCGCTCTCCCCGGACCCGGCATTCACTAGATCCGCTCTCCCCGGACCCGGCATTCACTAGATCCGCTCTCCCCGGACCCGGCATTCACTAGATCCGCTCTCCCCGGACCCGGCATTCACTAGATCCGCTCTCCCCGGACCCGGCATTCACTAGATCCGCTCTCCCCGGACCCGGCATTCACTAGATCCGCTCTCCCCGGACCCGGCATTCACTAGATCCGCTCTCCCCGGACCCGGCATTCACTAGATCCGCTCTCCCCGGACCCGGCATTCACTAGATCCGCTCTCCCCGGACCCGGCATTCACTAGATCCGCTCTCCCCCGGACCCGGCATTCACTAGATCCGCTCTCCCCGGACCCGGCATTCACTACCCCGGCATTCACTAGATCCCGCTCTCCCCGCTCTCCCCGGGACCCGGCATTCACTAGATCCGCTCTCCCCGGACCCGGCATTCACTAGATCCGCTCTCCCCGGACCCGGCATTCACTAGATCCGCTCTCCCCGGACCCGGCATTCACTAGATCCGCTCTCCCCGGACCCGGCATTCACTAGATCCGCTCTCCCCGGACCCGGCATTCACTAGATCCGCTCTCCCCGGACCCGGCATTCACTAGATCCGCTCTCCCCGGCACCCTAGATCCGCTCTCCCCCCGCATTCACTAGATCCGCTCTCCCCCGGCATTCACTAGATCCGCTCTCCCCGGACCCGCATTCACTAGATCCGCTCTCCCCGGACCCGGCATTCACTAGATCCGCTCTCCCCGGACCCGGCATTCACTAGATCCGCTCTCCCCGGACCCGGCATTCACTACATCCGCTCTCCCCGGACCCGGCATTCACTACATCCGCTCTCCCCGGACCCGGCATTCACTACATCCGCTCTCCCCGGACCCGGCATTCACTACATCCGCTCTCCCCGGACCCGGCATTCACTAGATCCGCCGCTCTCCCCGGACCCGGCATTCACTACATCCGCTCTCCCCGGACCCGGCATTCACTACATCCGCTCTCCCCGGACCCGGCATTCACTACATCCGCTCTCCCCGGACCCGGCATTCACTACATCCCGCTACATCCGCTCCCCCGGACCCGGCATTCACTACATCCGCTCTCCCCGGACCCGGCATTCACTACATCCGCTCTCCCCGGACCCGGCATTCACTACATCCGCTCTCCCCGGACCCGGCATTCACTAGATCCGCTCTCCCCGGACCCGGCATTCACTAGATCCCTCCCCGGACCCGGCATTCACTAGATCCGCTCTCCCCGGACCCGGCATTCACTAGATCCGCTCTCCCCGGACCCGGCATTCACTAGATCCGCTCTCCCCGGACCCGGCATTCACTAGATCCGCTCTCCCCGGACCCGGCATTCACTAGATCCGCTCTCCCCGGACCCGGCATTCACTAGATCCGCTCTCCCCGGACCCGGCATTCACTAGATCCGCTCTCCCCGGACCCGGCATTCACTAGATCCGCTCTCCCCGGACCCGGCATTCACTAGATCCGCTCTCCCCGGACCCGGCATTCACTAGATCCGCTCTCCCCGGACCCGGCATTCACTAGATCCGCTCTCCCCGGACCCGGCATTCACTAGATCCGCTCTCCCCGGACCCGGCATTCACTAGATCCGCTCTCCCCGGACCCGGCATTCACTAGATCCGCTCTCCCCGGACCCCCCCGGACCCCGCATTCACTAGATCCGCTCTCCCCGGACCCCGCATTCACTAGATCCGCTCTCCCCGGACCCCGCATTCACTATATCCGCTCTCCCCGGACACCACATTCAATATATCCGGTCTCCCCGGACACATTCACTATATCCGCTCTCCCCGGACCCCGCATTCACTATATCCGCTCTCCCTGGACCCTGCATTCACTATATCCGCTCTCCCCGGACCCCGCATTCACTATATCCGGTCCCCCACAGTACATGGAAATACAACTATTTTAGTAAATATAAACTGCTAAATACCTTTTCTCATCAGCAGTAGTATATAGCAATCTTGTGACTTCTATCAGTGTCCAGAAGAGCACTGGTTAAAGCCTGTAGGAGATTTCTGTTGTAGGACGACGCAGGACCCCTGACATCTGTCTGGACAGCACCCTGTGTGCCCTGTGCTAATCACATGCACTCTCCCAAGAAAAAAAAAAAAAAACCTTTCTAGCAATACACACCAAACTGAGCATGTGCAGTGGGACTCCACATATATGTCTCATCAGGGGGGGACACTGGAAGAAGGGGAGGAACAGAGAAGATAGGATCAAAAGTCTTTTTACACAATGCAGAGGATTAACCCCTTAGGTCCCACAGTGTGTACAACAAGCATGCTCTATTGCATCTACAGACTGATTTTACTGTTGTGGGTTTAAGGACACCTTACGGACTTATCCACACTATGTGCAGCGACAGACGGCTTACTGCATTGTAAAATGTCCGTCACCGCAAGGACACACAAGAAACAATTGTTTCCCGTGTGTCCCATTCACAATGCAACGCAGCCTCGGGCTGCACTTCAGTGTGCTGCGATAAAATGCTGCATAACAGCGCAATCACACCCGGTTGTTTTGCACACTTCCCAGAGAACAAAG